TGCTGGACAGCGGAAGCCTGTTAGCGGAGTCTAATGTGCAAACCGAAGGTACAAAGTGGCTGCAAGTGGAGGCTCTGCGCACAGGCATGTGCTCGTCCCGTGAGCCAGGGAAACGTGCAAAGGTATCGATTAGGAGGTGGTACGTCTGGGTTGGAGCTGGTGGTGCTCTCTGGTAAGTATTGGGCTGCTGACGGGGAGGCTGGCTGTTCAAACCCAGGGCCCAGGGCTGGAGTTTGGGTTTTGACCACCCACCCCCACCCGTTCCCCCCTGCTGTGGGGAACGCACCATCCTCATCTTGGAGAAGTTCACCAGGCCGTCCTCCGTGTAGTTGGGTGTCCCCTCCTCGATGAAGGCCAGGTCGGTGAGGTACATCCCCAGGTACGGGACACAGGGAGGGTCACAACTTCAAAGCAAATGGCATTAATGACACTTTTCCACTCAGAAACCAAGACTCCGGGTAGACCAGAACATCTGGCTTGGGCTTTGCTTTGCTAGAAGCAAAGGGTTTCCTTCTGGACACCGAAAATAAGGCCGGCTCTTGAGCCTGGCTTTGTAAAATCAGGCCTCTGGTGCCATCTGGGGTCTCACACAGGCTGGGTCTTCTTGGTCAGGGGTCCCCGCCCTCCTCCCACCAGAAGGTCCTTCTTGATCTCTCTGCCCTCTCAGGCCCTGTCCCTTTGTCACTAAGAGACGTGCTGTCATCAGCTCCCTCCCAGCCCAGCTGGACCCTTGGTCTTAACACAGAAATGCTCCACCCTCCCAGCACAGGAGCTCCCCCCAGAGGGTTTTCCTGTGCCTTCAAATTCCTCTCATCCCCTACCCTATCCAGCCTCTCATCCCCTACCCTATCCAGCCTCTCATCCCCTACCCTATCCAGTCTCTCATCCCCTACCCTATCCAGCCTCTCATCCCCTACCCTATCCAGCCTCTCATCCCTACCCTATCCACTGGAGGGATTTGTTCTGGGTACAATAGGCAGAAGGAACAGTCACCAGGGACCCTGTCCTTGTCACTTCTGGATCTCTGGTCCCCACCCCGGTACCTGGCGAGGAACGTGTGATTGGCCAATATTTCTTGGGGTGAACGAATGACACGCATCCAAACACACTGTTCACCCTGAGATAGAATAGATTTATTAGCAAGAGGTAATCAGGAAACATATATTTTTACAAAAATGGAAATTTCGTCTTCATTTGTTCCCCCCTCCCCCAAACAAGCTGTAAGTTGAAATATTTTAGGACTTGAAATAGAATTCTCATACCACTAGGTATTGCTTACAGCAAAAAGGTGTGTTGGTCAGAGTGGAGCATGCCTGCCACTTTAGGGTTAACCTGTAGTTTCTATACTGTACAATGTAAAAAATACATGATAATATTCACAGAATAAGCACTACGGTACTATATTCCTGCTAGAAGGCATTTAGACAGGACTACAGTATATGCCATAAAAACACTTGGTTATGGGTTTCCTAATTCTATGGTGTGATGCACTTATCACAAGGCATACAGACTTAGAGCAACTCAACCAAAGCTTGTAGTGACCATTAGGCGGCGACGAGAGTGGACAGTTGGTTTTTGTGTCCCTGACTTCCAGTGGGTGCAGGGCAGCGGTCTGAATCAATCTGACTCTGTGCTGGGACTCCATTTCCCTTGGGAAGCCTGGACAGAGGCAGCGGTTCAGGTTCAGGTTCATGCGGTCGGGTGCTATCCTAGGGCAAGGAGCCAGGTGGGGGTGCCTGCAGGAGGTCAGTGTTGTTGTCCAGGGGCGTGGTGCTCAGCGGAGGGGAAGGGCCCCGCTTCCATCCGGGCTACTGGGAGATGGAGAGTTTTGAGACCCGGCGAAATTTTGGCTGAACAAGCTGCTTTAGAAATTAGCATCACCATCAGTGGAAAGCTTTGTCAATGACCGGACCTCAGGGTATGGTGTGCCCCCCACTCCCTTCCCGCCTCCCTCCCACCCACCCTCCCCCAGTTATAACAACTACATGGAACATGCTGGGTGGATGCCTGGGTGGCCGACTTAATCCAGAGGCCTGGGCAGGGGCTGGACAGAAGCGGGGTTGGTGCTTAAGGTTGGTGTATGCTCGGGCTCTTTCCTCTTCTGGGAAGAGGGAGGCTCCAGGAAGCCCACTTGGGAGTGGAGCGGTTTAAAGGAAACACACCCCGAGGGAGGCGGGGTGGGGCTGAGCCTGAGTGGGCGGAGTCTTCAACGATGCAGAGAGTCGTATTCCGGGTCTACAGGAATCTAAGAACAAGGACGGGCTGGTATCCTCATAGCAGCACATACCAAGGAAGAAAATCCAGAGACACCAAACGCATATGTACAATATCGTATAGCAAGTCTACACAGGGCAGCTGGGCGGAGCGGGGACAGGGTCAGGTGGGAAGTTTCGGCTCTATTCGGAGCGATGACTCGTATAGGCTTTCTTCGTCCATTACAAAAGATTGGTCCAGCAAGTACTGGGTTACCTGAAGGAGAGATGGGAGGAAAAGCCGTGGCAGCGTCAACAAGCACAAACAAATGAAAACAAAACCGCGCTCTCCGGATCTATTCAGACTCACAGGGACCCTGCAGGGCAGAGTAGAACTGGCCCCATAGCTGTAGATCTTTACAGGAGCAGCGAGCCTCAACTCTCTCTCTCCTAAGGGGCAGCTGGTGGGTCTGAACCACCAGCCGTGCAGTTAGCAGCCCAACAATTAGCCCGCTGCGCCACTAGGGTGCACAAGGCTGGGAATACGGCTGGCTTCCTTCAAGCAAGAGCGTCCGAGCTGGGCCTGGAGGATTCAGGAAGGGGAAGTTTCTGCTGGGGGCCAGAAAGGAGCGAGGACCCCTCGGCGGGGGTGGAGGGAGCAGCGGGCTCACCTTCGCTTGGTGTTCTATCTTGTAGGCCGTTTGTTGAAACTGGCGAATCTCTCGGATGATATGCGATATCTGTGGGAAGGGAGGCAACTTGTGTCAGGACCACCCCCACCTCTCGGAAACTCCGGAGAGGCACCAACAGGGCAGCTCCGAACCGCTGTCTGGATTGTCATCACATCCCATCAAGACCCCGCAGGTCCATGACCCTCCGGGATTGAGCAGGATTCAGGGAGGATCGATCCTGCCAAATCGGTGGCACAGACCACCCAACAGTGCTGGCACAGACGTTAAAGACGCCTGCGACTCTCCAAGTGTTCACTGTGAGCAAGACAAGCCCAGGGCTTCCAGCCCCTCACACTTCCTGCTGGACAGCGGAAGCCTGTTAGCGGAGTCTAATGTGCAAACCGAAGGTACAAAGTGGCTGCAAGTGGAGGCTCTGCGCACAGGCATGTGCTCGGCCCGTGAGCCAGGGAAACGTGCAAAGGTATCGATTAGGAGGTGGTACGTCTGGGTTGGAGCTGGTGGTGCTCTCTGGTAAGTATTGGGCTGCTGA